GAGAGAGAGAGAGAGAGATCTGCTCCAAAGCACTCAGCTTGTTGAACACGGGACCGGGCCCCTGAATCGCGACGTCGTCACGGTTCAAAAGGCTCAGCGGAAAGCCCCGTGGTAGGCTCAGCGCCTGCGGGCGCGCGCTGGCCCAGCGCCGGCTTACCTTGACACCGTAGTTGGACTCCTCGTAGATGATGGAGACGTAGGTCCAGCCGAGTCGCTTTACGATTTCTACCATGGCCTTCACCTGGAACTCGTCCGACGGTATGGTGCGCGAGAAGTACTCGAACCGCTGCTTGCTGCTCAGCTCCGGAGAGGTGGAGAAGAAGGACACCTGAGGCGGAGCGGGCGCGCCCAGTTACCCCAGCCCGTGACGTCACCGGGACACGTTCAGAGAGGAACCGGCTCAGTGCATCCGGGATATGCAGGCATTGAAATTAGCAGACTTAAACTCCAACAAATCTTGAGCAATTGAAATATTTTCACTTCGGCGTTTTGCCTTCTCCGGAGACGCCCGGCCCTTGAGGACTCTACGGACCGAAGCGCCGGCATAACTGACAAATGGAAGTACTGCTTCCCGCGGACACGCCTGCCCAATGCCCCATGACTCGGCCAAAACTTTCCAGAGATACCGTTGCAGAGGACCAAACTCTCGATGGTCCCGATCGTGGCGTTGTGTTAGAGCTTCTCGGTTCGCAGTGAATGGCAGACACACAGGGACTTTACCAGCTGAGGCGGCCGGGCGGTGATAGCGGGTGGCTGGTACGTCGGAGTCTGTGGAGATGTCTCGCTGACATTCAGCGACAAAACTGACCCACCGCCCGCACCATGTGAAGACAAGGCTGGTATTGTATATGTATAGCCAGTGCAGGGGTTTGATTCCACGACACGCGGACAATTCGTGCGATTGCTTTGATAAAGCCAAAGCCTCACGAAAAAAGACGATAGTAATGCATCCACCAAGGACTCTGGACCATTCCCCGCGTATTGAAATGGAAGCAATTCTTGGGCGGGCCTGTCTCCCCAAACATTTAAAGGTGGCAATTATTTCCTATGTGCCAGAAACGTGACCAGAAGAATCGTTGCACAAGCGGAGTTGTGCTTGTGCAGTAGATCTTGGATCTTTGTAGATCCCCAAGACAGACTATGCGATGTGTTGATGGACGGTTTTTGGTACATGCGGACACATTTTGCTGCACATTAACCGTTACTAAGTTCGGTCATGTTATTCAACTGTCATAGCAGGAAGTGCTTTTGCTCCAACTACCACCTTTCATCACGTACAAGCTATTTACTATTGTCAGTTTCTGTCCGGTGGACAGGCTTGGCCTTTCAAGTCACGATTTCGCTCTATAAATCAACAGCAATCTAATCATCCTTTGTTGGACGTTCGTTCTATTGGCTACTGGAAAAATTGTCAAGAAACCCTCTTATTAATTTCCTTTAGCTGCCTTGTGTCGTCGGCACGAAATGGGCTTCGCTGCACGCTTGGGTGCGCATCGCCTCTCTGAGTGATATTTGTCTATTGTTGATAGGTGGAATGGAAGTAAAAATGCATGTAGTAGGCGAAATATTTCAATGCTACTTTAATGTTATACCTCTGGCGATCTTCGCAGCCTTGAGTATCCAGGTGGTGAACAATGGCGATTTTATCCACATCATTCGCGTTGTGCATATTTGGAGTGCGACCATATGCTTCTTTCGTTTATTTTCAACGATTCACAAAGCATGCTACCACCTGGGCAAAAAAACCTATGTCAGTGAACTATTGAGCTACGCGATGACAGGCACAATAGAGCACGACCCATCGATAAAACTGTCGTATCGATTCACTGAGCTCGACGTGAGGTTCAAAGACGATGCAGCCTACATGAGATAACTCTGAGCTATTGTCATATTCAGCGAAAAGTCCGCGGCAAGACTATTCTTACAGTAGATCCTTTTAAGCCTCAGGCGTCGGACCATTTTTCACACATCCGTTAGTGTCATGACGGATTTCAAGCCTTGAAGTGCCCCGGCACTTTTACTGGTGATTAGAGGGAGCATTTCTGTCTGGTAATTACTCACATAACCAGCGCCACAGGCTGAAAAAGTCCAAATACGAGCTATGCTGTTGTCTGACCTCGCAGGCGACGGTTACTGTTTGACATCGGCCCGTATACCGGCCATGTCCGGTTGCTGCTGGCCGCGCTGCCGGGTCCTGTGACCGACTCCTGGGCCCGCGAGCGGCGACGGTCCGGACGGTTTACAGGTGGGGCAATAACCGCTCAGCTACCACCGCCGCAGGCACACATGGCGGCTACTGCTGCCCGTGCTGCCGGGTCCTGTGACCTGACTCCTGGGCCCGCGAGCGGCGACGGTCCGGACGGTTTACAGGTGGGGCGTAACCTCCTCAGGGTTCAGCTACCACCGCCGCAGGCACACGTGGCAGCTACTGCTGGCCGTGCTGCCGGGACCTGTGACCGGCTTCTGGACCCGCGAGCGGTGGCCTGTGCTTACGGCCCCGACCACTGAACCCTGCATGGCAACCCCTGCATTTTCGCCCAGTGCCAGTCGCTCTTGCACCTTTGTGGCCTTCCAAAGACATGCACAGAAGTTCGCATGCATACAAATATTCGTTGTTTGCATGCATAAACAGGTAGGAAACACTTGTGTCACGCTCAACTTAGCTGTATTTGTGGGACGACACCTGGTCTTTCACATGGACCCCTATGCCGTCTTAATTGCATGTGTTTCGACTTATATAGATACTTGCATATGACCTCAAAGTCACCGTGAGCATGGAATTTAGTATTCAAATCCCGATATGTCTCCGAGGCGTACAGTGACCATGCCAAGATGTGTCCTACCCAACGGAAATGAACACCCGCCCAAAGAGAGGAGGTGCCTTAAATAACTTGGTAACCACTAAACATATAGAACAGGTAAGTAGTTACCAAAGTTATAGTTGGCACCAAGGTGGGTACCGAAATACTGCATCCGTAATGCCATGTTTTTTCAACTCACTTAGCTAATGGAATTTGCATGTAAGCGATTCTTATCTTTCAAAGGTCAAGCAAGATCGTAAACTTGAATCATTAAAGCTTGTAAACGCCATCATAATCCTGCCATGTTCTGTGATTGCAGTTGCATGAGTCCTCTTCGCGTAAACATGATCAGACAAGGACCCAATGCGTGACCAAATCTAAAAAGATCGAAAGATAAAATGGGCATGAGTGGAGCCTGTGGTTGGTTTGGTTGTGGTTGGTCCGGGCCGTCAAGCTGGCCGTAACTTTCTGCTCCGGGGGCGTTCTTGTTTTATGTTCATGTGACCACTCGTGGGTTGACGTTTGCGGGACTTTATGGCTGGGTTCCACGGGACCAAATACACAAGCGTATGATGACAAACTTATACGTGATGACGAAACAAAAAATCATCCTGTGCAAAGTTAACCAGATATTTTGATAATGCTCAGGTCAAAGGAGGAGTTTCGCCCCTGTTAAAGGGAGTGTTCCACATTCTTATGGGGTTTTGAACTGAAGTAGCATTTTAAAAACGTTTCGGTGTTGTTCACAGCCCTGCTCTTCTTAAGGCCTAAGCCCCTCCTGTTTCCGAGCCAAATGCCCGGGAAATGGGGGGGGGGGGGGGGGAGTATTTCGGGGCGAGTATTTCAAAGTCCCTTTGACGTTTACGACGTCAGAACGTCATTCAAATCCTGCCATTCCATAAGCCTTGCGGCGATCAGCGTCAATAAAAACATAATTGATGAGGCGTTATTATCTGGTGTTTGTGATCACGATTTCCAGATATAATGGCCGTTAACTGACTCTCAAACAGTGTTGTGTAAGGTACGATGACGTATTCAAACCATGACGTATTGAGCAGCACATTTACTTAACTGAGAGCTGTGCTGTCTAGAGCACTCATTTTCACATAAAAAGCATACCAATAGTTATTGTGAAATATTTCGTTTAATGCTATTGTCCGTGTAATCGGAATGAGGTGTCTGTGGAATGTAGCGAGACCAAAATCAGGTACCAGTAGAGTACAAGCCTCGATGAAAAAGGCTTTTGTGTTAAGTATCGCCAGTGTGTTTTACTCTGCTCTCGCGTAGTTTTCAAGTATCATCCATCTTAAACATTTCATTAGACTAAATCTGAATCCCCTTTATTGCGTAGTTATAACGTGGATGGAAATATTCGATTTCATCAGCAAGTGCGGCCTGACAAAGGCCATGCGCAAATAATGTAAATCCTATCTACCCGTTTTTCTACCTTTTCTTTATCTACCGAAATCAACGTAATGCGCAACGATACAAAACATATGTAGCCCCCAGATTGACATCAGAGGTAGCTCATTATCCGACCAAGAAAGGTGATCACCGCTTATGTCTTTTCCTGTTTACACCACTTTTCAGAGAAGTGACAACTCACGGCGCGTGGTAACTGCCGGTAGTAGGATTATACATTATGCGCTTCAATAGGTGTTTCAGCTCATAGTAAAAATTTTGTGACTGGACAATTTACTCATCAACACGCGCCCGGGTGGCCGGTTAATACCTTCGCTAGAGTGAGGGTTCAGTTCGACCTACTGAGATCTCCAAAAAACCAAGAAAGTTAGATATATGAAACTCACAGGGTGGGTTAGCCTGGGTGTGAACTCACTTGTGTATAAATTTAAGGTTCCTAGGTTATGATCTTGAGGTTAGATTGGGTCAAATAAGGTTAAACCCCAGATTGCTGCCCAGAGTGCCTCAGACCTCCTCATGCAGCGGTCGTGAGCTTAGAGAACTGTTCTAAACAAAAAGTCGCTAGTTTTCATCTAAGTTCAGTGAACTTCATTGGCCTTTAGAAGGTCAAGGTTACCAAAAACATAAAAATTGTTTCTATATTGACCTGTGAACTACAATATGCCGTATGTTCCTAAACACAAACAAACACAAACCAAGGTCAACATTTGAAATGTTGACCTCGGTCATGTTATGTCAAGAGCATACTCTGATCCTTTAGAACTTCATGGAACATGTTTGTCGAGGTCCATGGAATTCATAAATTCAAAATGATTGCCAGAAGCTACCACATAAAGTAAGTTTTTGAGTAAAAACCAGATTAGTTTTGACCTCGGTCTGACCTTCATACCTGACCCCAGATCAGTGGACTTTTGTTGCAGTGCTAAATGCAATAGTTGTATTGCCTAAGAAACTATCTCAGAGATGTACGGCTTCGTCTAACACTCTGTCGTCGTATCAGATTGAACAATTTCCCTAGACATGGCCTTGGCTAACAACGACGGCCTGTATTTGACCTGCCGTAGGTCAGCGACCTTTCAAGGTGAATCTGATTTTTCTATAAGCAGATCTGCAATGCAACTACCTATAGCTATGCAAGACTTGGCACGGCTACAACGCGCCTTTAGAAGCTAATTCCGGAAAAACCTTCGGAGGGGGTCATCAATCAACCCCACTTGAGCTTTTTTAAAATATGATCCGAGCCCTTTGAATGCATGGATTTCTGGGACCAGAGCTCACGCTTGTCGTGTGAGCCCTGACCCCACCATCCGATTGCGCAATTCCAGGCAACGGCAGGATTTCGTGGTGAAAGCTTAACGTGCCGCAATGCTCGACACGGTCCGTCCTGCTCTCTGACGTCAGCTGACCTTTAGCGCGACCGCTGCCACCGGCCGCAGGCATAGCGAGCGTCTAAAGCGACGCGGATCCATCCCGCCACGGGTAGGTGGATCGGAAGGCAGGCGCCCTAGCCAACTGAGCCACCGGCATTGGCGACGCTCCTGGGGAGCTCCTGTTAACCCAGACCGAAAGCTCGGGGCATTTCTAGAACGGAAAGATGGTGACGAACGCGTCAGCGCTGCCGAATTACCCTCTGGGTCTTACGAAGAGAAGCACATCGGCAAGAACCTTTTGTCTTATTTACGGCAATGCCCGTTTGAAGTTCAAATCGTGGCCATGGGAGGTCATTCATTGACCTGGAATCAGAAAGCAGATATGCTTAGGTAGCTTAGGCAAGGAGCAGCGCACTGCTTTTTCTCGACTCCGTCCTAGTTCAAACGTTTAAAGGAGACGGGAGCTTGCCAGGGCCCTGGCCGGATGAAGGTCTAGAAACGGCTCCATCGCGAAAGGGTCAAACCAGGGTACACTATTTGCATTAAATCTGTAATACCAGTGCAGTTTCGATCACACGCAGACCCCGAAAAGCATTCACGGGTATTCATGCAGTCCATGCAGTCCACTGGCGCGCTGCTCTAAAGAAGCAATATCTCGAGGAGCCGAGACAATTTAATTTCAATAATCTCAATAATGGACCTCATAAGACCTCAGTTCACCATCAAAAGGTCATTGCTCGCGCCGAAAGCGCGGCGTCGGGACGGCGGCGGCCGCTTATGACCCCGGCCGGGTACGTGAGCCGGCCATTGATGGCTGCACGGGGGCCGCCGCTGCACGGCCGGGGGCCGCAGCCCGCCGCTCGCGACGCACGCCAGGCGCGTGGCGAGGCGCGCTCGACGCGAAGATTGCGCGCCCGTGCCGGCCCGGCCGCCGATTCCACTAGCGGCCACCGCCCGCGGGCCGGCCGAGCTGACCGCGGTGCCGCGGCGCTGGAGGCGCAGCTGTACGACTCGAACGGGCTGAGCAGCGCGGCCGAAGTGGCGTCATCAGCGGACGACCGACGGCAAAGTTGGCAGTGCGCGTCCGCGGCTGCAGGCGACTGAACGACGACCGCAGCGGTATCCGGCCGGCCATCCCACACCGTTACCGGCCGGCGGCTGCCCGAGCGGCTCTGCGGTGTGCGCTGGCCGGGGTCACGGCGACCGCCAGCGGCCGTGGAGACCAGCACTGGCATCGGAGTCACCGCCGCGGGAGAGCGGTACGCCAACGACCACCAAGAAAACCTTCAACAATGGCGCACGTAATCTGCCAGCGGTGTATCCGAAAACTCCTATCTCTGCTCAGGCGGATCGGTTAAAGCGACATCTTTCAGCAGTTGGCATCATTCCTGTTGACATAAGCCTGTTCTTTGAAGCATTATTCTTTTGAACGGCAGTCCCTAAGCTGGTAGCAGTTTCATCAGTTATGTGACGGGAGATCCGCCCTGGTGGCGTCACAAAGCAATCAAATCCCAGAACCCAAACCCAGCCGCCCACTTCTCGGTCTGGCTAGCCTCGGCACCTCACACTGCCCCAATATCCGTCACTTTCTGGAGAGCACCAGCTGTCGTTTGCTCATTCCGGGTAGCTGGTGTGTGTCAGCGGAGGAAAGTACACGCGGGAAGGAGACGGCAGAGTAAAAAAAATCCGCAAGTAGCATGTTAGTGAAAGTTTTTTGGGGTCTCACATATTTATTTTTCCATTTAGCGCTTGAAGACCACATCTCTCTTTAACTTATGAATACGGTACTGCTATGGATGGCCCAAATTTTCTAAAAGCAGGATTGGCAGAGGTCAATGAGAACTGATCATGCTGACTTAATTTTTTCGCTGCACTTTACTGTTCTTTTCAGCATGATTAAAATCGGCTGAGTTCAGTGATGTTGATTTTTAACTTATGTCAGGAACCAGCCACGGCGCCAAAGAAAAAAACGTGCCTAGTTTGGGGGGGAGAGGGGGAGGCCCCGTCAACCTTGGCTGCGCCTCTGTTGGCACAGTACAACCGACAGCAGCAATGTCAGCACCCCAGTGCACAGCTACCTGAATTTTGCAGCTGTTAAAAAGCCAATACAAAAGAGATCGATGCTGCAAAAACTTTGCCATTGTAACTGCATCACAGCCTGGGCCGCCCTGAAGAGGCACCCCCGCGCGGGCCGAACTTCTATCGAGTTACGGCGCCATACGCTGTCAACGAATCGTCACACCCAACCTCTGCTCGCCCCGGACCTCCTGGAGCAGCCGCCGTTTTTACACGCGGACGCCCCAGACAAGATCGATAGGCTGGTCAGCGCGCCAGCATGTAGGCGCACGATCAAGCGATCACCGCAGGCCGAATTCAGTCCGAGTCTGTGGCGCCTTCACCGCCCTGCGCACGCCCGTGGTGGCCACGCGACGCGCTCCGCCCTACCTGAGGGATCTTGAAGAGGCGCAGCAGGTTGGCCACCTGGATGGAGGTGACGCTGGAGGCGGCGCCCACCACGCCCGATATGACCTGGTTTCTTATCAGCGGAATGGAGCCGTCCTTGCACTGGTACTCGCCGTCGTCGATGTTGCTGATTGATCCTGCGGATAGAGCGGCTGTGCGTGACTCGTCGGACGAGGCGGCGGCATTAGAAAGAGGTGCACTGGTTTTGTATGCACGTTCCTCGTAATTGCATTGGTGTTATATTTGTATTGATATACTGTTCCATGGCCGAATATATTGCATGTAAATATGTGCACGAACTAAAATGCATCAAATATCACGGTGTGCTAAAAAGTCAGTTATTTGCCTCAGTTATATGCCGCATTAAAGAGACCAACCAGGCTCCAAGAAGTCCTCAGCGGGAGTGCTTTTAAATTCATGTGGTCTCCGTGCCATTTGCTTGCAAAGGGCAAAATTCGGGTAAATTATTCAGCGGTGCTCTCTGCCGGCGGCCGTGCCACACAATACCGCGATGAGATCCTTCCGGAGAATGGCATCTCATCGCAAAGACGATCTGCTTTCCACATAAATCGAAATAGAAATTACCATAAACCTATCGCATTTCCGGATGGCAGGTGCCTGGGACCTCTGTGCAGTTAGCCTGCCGGCTGGGCCGTCACCAGGCCGGGATTTTGCGGCGGGTGGACCCGCACACTACGCAACGTGCCGGCTCTGCCGGGCCTCTGGGGGCGGCTGGTGACGCCGCGGCGCGGCTCATTTGCCGCCTCCAATGACGCGGCGCCCCGCAACCGCCGCACGCCCGGCATTAGCGACAGCTGCCAGTGTCCTGCGCACTCTCGCCTCACTCCCGCCATTTGGTCGCCTCCGCTGGTGGCAGCCACGGCTCCTCTCAGGTTAAGGTCGCACGGGTCACGCGGGCAGATTTCGGTAGGTCAAATGCAGCTCAACTGTAGCCGCAAGTCTCCATACATTTAAAACGGTAGCTGCCTGTTGTCTTTCTCAAGGGGAAACAACTATCGGGTGTTTCTTAAACGCAGGAGGGTTGTGTGTGGCTGTGTGCGGGTAAGATGCGGGATGATTTGAAACCTTAACGTGCTCGCGATGGCTGTACCGTGTCCATCCACGGTCTCGACCGTATGAGCCCCGAAGAGTGATATGCCCGAGCTGTAGCGGTTTCCTTCCTGGCATGGAATGCTGTCTCATGCATTTGTTTCATTTGCGGCCACCACTGGTAAAATCTGTTGTTTTGGAGGCTGTTAGTGCCGGAATGCAGATAGCTTTCAATGCTTGTTGAAAAGCATGAGAATGCAATTAACGCTATTTCATAGTCCTTGAGTATGAGTCACTTGACTTTACCATCAATGTAAAAGCAAATGACGCATTTGTAATACCGAAGGCCTAATACTATGGTAGTATATAGAGCACACAACAATAAAAGACTGTTTTGAAAAATATATGCCACGCGAGAGCTATTCGCGTTGGTTTCTTAGACATAGACCGCATTGCGTCAGCAGATTGTGCAGTTTGTACTCAAAGAGGTCGCCGCGTGTTGCAGTGTGTTATTTCGTGTGGATAAAGGTATGCCAGATACATTCGGCTGCTTTTGTAGCCCTGAAATTTGAATTTGCCTGGGTATGAATTGAGCAAATTTTCGTCAAACCCATATGAAATCCCTTTTAATGAGAATTCAGCATGTTCTAGCGCTGACTAATGACTGCAAATCATTCAGGCGCTAACAGCTTATGAGGATGTTAACTGCCGATGTCCTATCACATTTCGACTCCTTTCTTCTAGCGGAATTTCAAGCTTTCTTTGAAACCCCATACACTCAGACTACTTTTCGGCTCAAAGCCGTTTCAGAGGTGCTGCGGATGCTTGCTACGACAACATATTAACTCCGGCTTAAACAGACGACATAAAATGTGATTACCTTGATGTAAGCTATAAGCACCCAACCCAGATATCTAACACCCCCTTGCCAATAGTTGTTCTCATCGTTTTGTAAACCACAGAAGCTAGGGCAATGGCAAGACATGCAGCTTACTTGCTTTTTGTCCACAAATTGCCGATCGAGATGTAAGTATAGTTTTGTGAAGGTCCGTCATTCTATCCACTCAGCATAAGGGGCAACAAAATGGCGCATATTTCTCGGTCAGTTCTGGAAGTGTTAAGATGATGTTATTTTACAGGGAGATTTCAACATTCCAGACCGAGGCGAAGATTTTGGTTAATCGTCAAATAGTCATAAACTTTGTACAAGGTTTTCAGCGTTTCTGTACTAACGACACAGTTTTATGAGCGATTGTCTGCTAGAAATACTATTGCATATTGCACATTGCACTCAAACATATGCCTATCAAGGGTATATGCTGCCAAAATTGTGATATGCTTGCTGCTTGTATGGTAGTTGTGATACCAGGTGTCATCCTACAAATACTCTTCGAAACTATTTGAAAACGATCTGGTGGCATTCTGGCCGCAGACGCGACAAGACGCACTCCTCTCTTTTGCTTGCCTCCTGTTAACAAGGTATGCATTACCTCAGAGCCTGCTTATCTAGACATGGTCCATGATGAATGATTCTTGAATGGAACGATCCTCAAAGCCTGTCTTACTCCACACGATACAGATATAAAACAATAGCATCGGAGCTCAGCGTCCGACACCCTCGACCGATTCGCACCGTTACCTAGCACTGACATTATCCCATAAATTGGATAAAGGTATCAAATGACACAAAAGTCCATAAAGAGGCTCTTTTCACGTTAAAACTTGCTTAGAGAAAGATCAGCTGCGTTTTGTCTGTTCAATGCGAATGAAATCGCATGAAAGCAACAATTTGCTTAGGTTTAGTGCATATTTAAAGTTCTAAAAGGGAACCTTTAACACTTTCAGTGCATTTATCCTTCGTAAAAACGGCCCTTATTTAACTTCCCCGAAAAATGGTGGCCATGAGCCAACAGTGGGCGAGAGCCCAACAGCCCATTTGGCTCCTGCTCCTACGCCTGCGGCTGCAATTGGAGTGCCATCACTCGGTTCTCTCCGGCCTCCTACTGCTGATGTTGTATGCAACAAATCTTAAATCTTCCTTACCAACAGAATCAAAATATACTGCCTGTCGTCGGCATAAATATACCGCACAACAGTAACACCCCATCATGTGCAATTCGAAGTCTCTCATGCGCCAACTAAACAAGACATCCGAGCATAGTGGCGAAAACAAGCACATCTCAGTCGTACCAATCGTACACTTATGGCCTCACTGATTCTGCACGCACATGCAAAAACCGTACCATGTATTCCTTCATGTCAAGACATCCACATTCTATCACAATTTTACACGATACAGATATAAAACACGATACAGACATAAAACAATACAAAAAAATAATCGTAATTACCTTATTATTGCCCCGACGCTGTTTTGCTGGTTAATGCTCCGCCGTTAACCAGCGTTTCATGATGCCTCTATTTCCGGAATACCAATGAATTTTATTAAAAACATAGCATGTTTCATCGTCATAAGTGCGTTGCGACCTTACATAATTGGGCATGACCTGGAAGACTGAGCAGACAGAGCACGCGGTGGTAGAGTTCATCTCTTACGCACTCTCAGCTACACAGTGCACTATATGACAGAAATTATGTCCGCCTGGCAAACAAAGTACTGGCAAATGGACCACACTTCTAAAAAAACTCCTCTCTGGACATTGATCTGTGGCTTTGTCACCTCGCTCTGTGCCGCGATATGGGTCTGAGTGGAGGCTTCAGTCAGGTCACGCGCCGCCTGCACCCCTCTCGGTGCTGCAGGCGCAGCGAGAGCGCGCCCTGCTTCTCCGAATACATCATCACCGGCACCTGCCTCGGGCACGCGCGGTCACGCCCCACAGATTCGGCGAGGCGTGGCACCAATCGCATAATAAGGACGACAGCGCGAGAGAGCTGGCAGACAGGTACGTGAGAGAGTGGATAAACGATAGAGATAGAGAGGGAGGGAGTGAGAAGGTGAAACATGGAAAAAGGCAAATGAAGACAGGAAAGGGGGTTCCTCCCTCCCCCATTTAACCCCTTGTTAACATGACCCCCGCTTTTCACGACTGTGGCGAAGGAGCTCATTTCTGATTACAGACTTTTCATGATCGCTGCATGTCCACCCTTCCGTTTGCACGTCCGTCTCTGGGTTTGTGTGTCTGTCACATACTTGGACGACTTTCCGTCCGTCCGTCATTCCCTCCCTCACCCTCCGTCTGTCAGTCTGTCAGTCGGCTAGTCATCCAGCCTGCTGGTCTGTAATTCTCAGTCTTTCAGTTATTTAGTCTGTCAGTCGGTCAATCGGATCAGTCTGCTAGTATGTTAGTCTGTAAGACTGCCAGTCTGTCAGTCTGTCAGTCTGTCAGTCTGTCAGTCTGTCAGTCTGTCTGTCTGTCGGTCAGCCCGTCCGCCTGAGCCATCTGTCCGTCTGGCATCGACACTGCGAGGCTCCGCTGCTTGCAGTGTTGAACGGCGTACCACAGACAGGTTCTTAATGGTCTATTGTGTGCCATAATGGACTTCAGGCGACATTAGCGGAAGCCACTCCCACGCCGGCATCATCACCACAAAGGCAAACGCATGCTGCTACAACGGTGCACTGAGTAGGCATCCTTGGCCTACCAACCAACTACCGTACGCGGCGAATGGTTGGCGTGTTTCCCACGGTGTCGCGCCTCGACAGTACCGGGGCGGTGAGGTGTGCCGGGGGGGGGGGGGGGGGGGGGCTGTGTCGGCCGGAGTTCACCCGCTGTGTCAGAGCTGACTTGTTGTGTCGGAGTAACCCGGTGAGTCGGAGCTCATCAATTGTTTCAAAGCTCACCCGGTATGTCGGAGCTCACCTGGTATGTCGGAGCTCACCTGGTGCGTTGGAGCCCACCCGCTGTGTAAGAGCTCACCCGACATGTCGCAGTTCACCGGTTGTGTCAAAAGTCGGTAGTCGACAGGACAAATGGCTGTTGAGGTGAGAGCTGGCGACAGGGCTCGCCGGTCTGGCACATCCCACACTAGCCCCGGCCAGCCGGTACGAGAGGGCTCGCCGGTCTGGCATATCCCACACCAGCCGCAGCCAGCCGGTACGACAGGGCTCACCGGTCTGGCATGTCCC